ATATACGCTCAGCACGTAGTCGCCAAGCATCAGGCGCGATGATGGAGATTCCGATGTTACGCAGCAGACAGTCTTCCCGGGACCGACGGACCCGTAGCAGAGAGTCTTCTCCAACCCGGCAAGCTCGCAGCAGACAGTCTTCACGAACACGTCATGCTCGAAGCAGGCAATCTTCCCGAGTCCGGCAGCCCGGCAGCAGGTGCAATTCGTTCGAGTCACGGTTCGCTCAATATCCCCAACAGCCACACTACACTCAAGAACATCACTATCCCCAGCAACCTCAATATCTACATCAAACGCACTACTCTCAGCAGCCTCTATATTTTGAACAGTCTCACTACCATCAACAACCTCAATTCCGTCAACAACCTCAATTCTGTCAACAACCACAATTCTATCAAGAACCGCAACACCAGCAACAACTTCAGCTCCAGTACCCCAACCCTCCTCAAAACCCAATACAACCTCGGTACGGACCGCATGATCCGCATACGTGGACTGAGCAACCTGCATATGGCCGGCTGCGGCCTTCGAACCCTGTAACGTTTTTGCAAGAGCAAGGCTCTTCCTGGGACGCACAGTCTGTACAGTATGGGTCAGTACCTGGTCAGACACTTCGTAGACGTCACGCACATTCTCAATTGAACGCCCATACGAGAAGAGAGATGTTGGTCACAGCTAATGGAGACATGCTCGCGCACAATCAGGTCATCTTCGAGACCATCCAGCATGTCTCTGCGCAATACCCAGGGATGGCGCAGCAAGGTGCTTGTGTGGACGATTGGTTGCAGACTATTCAGGTGCAGAATCTCCAAACTCAGATGAGCCTGATGAGTGTATCTCACGGATACAGCAGCAGCGTGGGGACACGGGAGTCGGGGACATCGAGGAGCTGGGTATTCCGACGGGAGCCACCGGAGATATGAGTCCGCGTATGATGCTATGCTTCTTTTGATACTTTTTTTAATGTTGTTGTAAATATTCTCGCATACCGGGCGATCGTTCGGATGGTGAACATGATCGTAGCCCATTTCCATCGATAGTGACCTAACTTGTAGCATTCGATTTCTATTGAGGATATTTTCTTTGTGAACATGATGATCTGGACCAGGCACAACCACTGCGTTGTTGAGAAAATGCTGCGGGCCGAAGAGGGGTGCAGATAAGGTCCCATGGTACTGTAACGGGCCGGCACTCTCTGGCGCAGACTGCCCTGGACGGCAGGAGACCGTCAAATTTCTGTCTCTTGGCGGAGGTGATCGGAACTGACGCAAGACTAAGGGCTGGTCTTGGGTTCCTTCCTCGCTCTGCAGCACCATGCTGTCAGTTTCACGACAATTTCACACCGTCAATTCTCCCATCTTCCCTATGGGATTCTCGTGGTCGCATCATTCTCCCGACTCATCGTTAGTTCAAGCATGGCCTTCGTCACTCTCAAAGGCCTCTTCAAAAGGCGTCAGTCTGGTTCGGCTCCAGTCAATTCGACTGGCTGCCAGTGTCCGTCCGAAGGTCCGGAATTTCAGCACGTCCATTCCCCCAACAGCTGGCAGTCCTGCGGTACCAAGACTACTGTCGCCGAAGATGCCAATGACGCCAACTGGATAGAATGCTTACCGCACACAATCATCGCCAGTGATCTTGGAGTCAAGAGCCATGACTACCGTCTCGCGCTCAGCCATTTCCTGTCGGAGGATCCGTCGATTGCGGTGTTCTCGGTGTCGCAAGATTCGGCCGTCCCAAGCACATGGCGAGATGACCCATCAAGTCGCCCATGGCCGAGCAACTCTTCTTGGAGCTTGCGAAAGGCCTTTCATCAACTGAGATATCCCTGCAATGTTTGCGTGATAAGTGGCTTCCACTGGCAGTACGATGTCCCTTCGAGAGCGATACGATACTGGAGCGCTCCAGATGGTCTGTTGTTGCTCGACTGGTGTGACATGGTCCACGAGTACCCCACTAAGAAGAGTACGAAGAGCAAACGGCAGAACAAGGATCAAATGAAAGAGACTGTGAAGGAATCCAGCCGTTTGGAGCGAAACGTATTGGTCAATCCACCTCGAGCTCATTGGGCATCCTATGGCAACTGGGATATACGCCCACCTACTCCCGCAAATGTCGGGCTGCTTGCTATCACAAAGGGCGCGGCTTCGATCGAGGACTGGGACTGAGTCCATGGGGGGAGTGGCATCAACGTTCGGTAAGACAAACCATTGCTCAAGCAATTGTATGATGAGCTGTGGAAGGTTCTCGCTCGGCAAGTTGTGAAGAATAAGAAGATGATACGGCAGAAGCTGTGTAAGATGTAACCTTGCGTCACTCAGATGGCAAAAGGAGTGGTGGTTCGCGAGCTCCAGCGCAAATCGATGTCATGTACAAGCAAAATCCAGATAAGATGCTTGAGAGAGCGGAACCAAAACGCGTGTGTTGGCGTGACTAACACTGGAGATGTGAATCGCGTTGACGTCATTCAGCCCTACCCGTCTTGGTGCCCAAAAAGTTCCCTGGCCCTGGGTGCCTGGCCCCACCAAGCAACCCTGCACATTTCACAACTCTCACCACTTTTCCAAAAATCCAGATATAAGATCACCATGTCCGTTTGTGTCGCATGCAACAAACCTCTCGAGGTCGAGATTGAGGCAGATGAGGAGGAAGACTATGAGACGGGCGCATCATCCTTGGGAAAGGCGCCAGCAGCGGCGCCAGAAACCGTGCCTGACGATGTTTTCCTGCAATGTGGGTGCCACTTTCACTGGTAAGGTAATGCTACATTTTTAGACCAGGGCATGACTGATGATTCACCTCCAGGGATTGCTTACTCGAAGCATACCAGATTACAGAATGCCCGAACTGCGGCATGACCATCTCGACACTCTCCCCAACAGGCGTGCAACAGGTTCTGGTCACACTCAAGAACGAAGGGGGCGTGCAGTCAGATCTTGATATCCTCCCTCTACTGTCCGAAGAGACCTACCTCAAAGCGTACCCCGAAGACCGGAAATGCCGCGCGTTTCTTGAATTCTGCCGCGAAGGCGACTACAAAGCCATTGTAGGCATGCTACAAAACGACGAAGTGGAGGAGGATGACGACGATGAAGGTGAGGAGATGGCCGACAGCGATCAACCCGAGAGGGAGGTTGGCATCGACAGGATGCTCAGATACCAAGATCCGATTGGCGAGATGCAGTCAGGATTACACGCCGCCGTGCAGGCGCAGAGCAGAGAGGTCGCTTGGCTGCTGTTACTGTTGGCAAGCAACCTGGACTTGATGGAGTTCCCACCTCTGGTATTCCAGGAGGCAGAGGCGTTGGGTATCATGAGGGGATTGACCGAGGATAAGGTCGATATCAGGAGTCTGCGAGATGCGAACGGAAAGACAGCAGAAGACCTCGCTAACGAAGTTGGCGGAGTCTGGGTTGGATGGACGGGCAACAACCGGCTGGTGATATGAGGTAAGCAAGCTCAAGGCCCGCAGGCAAGCTTGCGGCCACGAAAGGGGTGTCCTTTGAGCAAGGCATGATGAGGGTGAAGCCCAGCCCTGCCTCCCACCTCGCCATAACAAAGCTCGTTGGGCAGGCTTCAAGTCGCAAACTATAAAGTCTTAGTTGCTTCTGAGCAGCACTAGATCATGGCTGATGGCAGTTGAGCTGTCTCTGACAGGGAGAGTCAGCCTAGGAGCTGGGTGCTATAATGACCTTCGATTGGGGCCGAGGTGCCTCATGTAAACAAATGATGACACCTACTTCCCATACCCATAAACATCTCTCCTGTGTACTTAAGGGTCTGACTAAGAAAGAAATTGGAAGCTCGAGCATGATATCTGGTTGGTCGGTTGCTGCACGTGACACGTGTCTTAGCGCGTTTCCGTCGCGTCGTCGCCATCGCAGAGTCGGAACCAGACCTTGACCATAATCAGATTGCGCGCATTCGCCGAGTTCAACTTTCTACAATCGCATAATGGCAGGCTTCAAGCGCGGAGGCGGCTCCTTCAAGAGGGGCTTCTCGAAGAAACGAGCCGGGTCTGACGACGATGATAGCACATCGCGTACGAGCAAGAAGTCGAAGGGAGATGATGAAGAGGCAGACTCGACACCAGTCGTGCCAGAGCTGAAGGTTGATGACGAAGGCAACAAATACGTTGGTGTAAGTCTCGTTCTGCATTCTGTGGGATAGCTACTCAACTGATGTCCATTGAAGCTCAACGCAAGCGGACTGCGACGCGTTACCATCTCTGATTTCAAGGGACAAACTTTTGTAAACATTCGAGAGTACTGGACTAAGGACGGGAGCGTGCCCAAGCCATCAGCGAAGGTGAGTAGGCTCTTTTCAGGCGCCATATTTCTACTGACAATAACGCAGGGACTTACTCTGAACATCGATCAATACAACACGCTACTCGGGTCGATACCCCTCATAGAATCTGCGCTCGCTGAGAAGGACATTCAAGTCGCACGCCCGGACTTTGATGCCGATCTTAGCTCGGCTGTGAAGACACCAAAGGACAAAGACGAGCGCAAAGATGTAGATGAGGTAGAGGAGACCGCAATCAGCAAGGTCGATGAGGAAGAAGATGAGGGGTAAAGCGTCCCTCTTTGCAGCAGGGAGCTCATCGGCGCATCAAAGGGCATATTGTACAACATTGGGGTTTCATGGATCAGATACACAGGCGCAAAGGGACAAGAGGCTGCCAGCTGCTAGCGCGTACTTCGACAGCTTCTCTTTGCCAGCAATTCTCATATGAGCTTTTTTCACATCCGCGTTGCTCTCCTTTCCGATTCTCCGCGAGTTCTGACCGACACATAAGATCTCACGGACCTTCGGCAAGTCTGAGTTACCCCACTTCGACCCCACCACGCCATGATTCATCTGCAAATTCTCATGCCCCACTACTATGGAGCCTCATCATTACGCCCATGTTTTGGCATCGTGCTTTAGACTCAGAGCACAAGTTAATATACGTTGCAATCTCGGAATTCCCCATCAACCACCCAAATCTCTAACGAGTCTCTTTAGCTCAATTGGGAGAGCGCCAGACTGAAGTCTTCGGTCATTAAATCTGGAGGTATCGCGTAAGTGCACTACACGTATCTCGATCATTCAAATACTAATTTGACACAGGTTCGATCCGCGAAAGGGACATGAACCCCGTGCCTGGCTGTAGTCAGGACACTTCGAACATTCTGTTTTTTTTGGGAGGGGGGATTGTGGCTGAACTCTGCTCCGCGTCAGGTTGCCTTCTTGGCTCGCCCCGCTCGCAACACCGATGATGCAACATGGTGTCTGAAGTCGGCTAACGTGTTGGATAAGCGAGTGAGCCACCCCACCAAGCTTACGCACCTGTTCAAGCGTACATCCCAACCACGTGAAGAGATAACATATGTATGTATTAATATAACGTGTTTTACAAGCGAGTGCGCACCCCACCAACTTTCTGCAACGCTACAGGCGTACATCTCAACCACGTTGAGAGATAATATAAAGATATTGATACAATATACTAAGCAGTATCTGAAGTATCTTTTTTGCATGTACGTGAGTTATGCCCAGTCTCTCTGCACCTCTTTCAGCGCGCCAGAGCCTGTCGGCTAAGGCCTAATCGCTCTCCGCCTTGACGCTGTTCACGCTCTATGTGCTGGTCAGCCTCCTTTTGAGCAAGTATATCCTCTCCCTTCCCCTTTATTAAGGTCCCCTGCCTCTGTATCCGCTTCTTTTTACGCTGTCTACGCTTTGTTGCTGCCTCATTAGCTCTCTCAAGGCTGGTGATCTGATTGCGCATTAGCTCAGCTGAGAGCATCATTACCTCTGCCCCCTTCTTGAGCCGGTTAATCGCTTCAATAATTGAGGCAGGTGATGAGCCCTTGTGCTGCTGCACACGATTACGTATCAGAGTTGATTGAGCCTAAAGCTCACGTACGTTGCTCGGCGAACGAGCCTGCCAGAGAGCCTCTACGAGAGCAGCAGGAGTAGGCGTACGCAGCTGCACGTCAAGCTTCGACAGAACAGCATCTAGCTGGAGAGGCACAAGGCCTGCGCCACGAAAGGCTGAGCAGATATTTGCTGACGTCAACGATTGATCATAGGCTGCCTTAAAGGCTGGCAGAAACTCGAGTTTGGTGATGTGGTTGATGTGGTGGCAGATTAGAGCCTCAATCTCACGGCTGTACGCACGCTTCAATGGCGAGAAACAGCCACGTCAAGTGGCTGCAGCAGGTGTGACCAGTGAGGCGGCATGCAGAGCGTATAGATATTGTTCTCCTTGCAGAGCTCTCGAAATTTCAGAGAGTGGTGGCTCTCATGGCCATCAAGGATGAGCAGGCGATGTGCACCTATAACACGAGTCTTTGTATGAGCATCAAAGTGCTTTAGCCAGTCAACTCCTAGCTCGTTGGTTGTCCAGCCATTGTCGCTGACTGCGATCGCCCAGTCGCGTGGGATCTCTGTTTCCTTGTACCAGGCAGATAGATGATAGCGGCCAGCAAAGATGAGGAACGGTGGGATTGACCAGCCAGCTGCGTTGAGTGCAGCAATCAACATCACCCACTCACAATTGCCTGGCTGGATAGCCTTTGGCCTGACTCTTCTCTCTGACCCTGTCACAACGAGCTGAGTCGTAATCTTGCCTATCATGAAGCCAGCCTTGTTAAAGTTGTAGACGTCCTCATTGCAGATGCCATACTTGGCCTTTGTCTGCTCTATAAGCTCAAACCAGCCTCTGATTAGTACAGGATCCTCGCATAGAGCTCTCTGCCTATCGTACGCTTGATTGAAACGTGTCGTAAGACTGTCTGTACGCTTAACAAAGTTGCGCGGCCACTGGACACCAATGCAATGTGTGCTGCGCGCAGCCAGCAGCTTATTAGCCATATCACGTACAGTGTCGAACGTAGGAGCAAATCTACGTTAATCCAGGTCAAGTATATAGCTAACAATCACCTCCTCTTCTAGCTAGGTAAGCCAGTTTGAGTTGGGCTGGCAATTGCGTTGAGCAGGCTTGCCAGCGCATCGGCGGTGGAGTGTATCTCGAGAGACATTAAACGTCTGAACAGCGACTGCCTCACTCTGAAATTGATCTTGCTGAAGATCTGAGATAGCAAGGTGTATATCAGCCTCATAGGAAGCTGGCTGGGCTTAAGTTGGGGGTGCTATAGTAGTTATATTGGAACAAGGTCCCTCTAGTAGTATGACTACCATGGATAACCCAGTAAGGAGAGGGACAAGGTGGGGTGGCTGCAACGTATTGTCTTGACTATCGTCTTGTATTACCAAAGAGGCCACGCAGACTTCACGTAAGGACGTTACAGTCAGCTGTGCCTACCTCACACAGTAGGTACCACAGCCCTTCCTTCCACCAACCTGGACTGAACCCACATATTCTCAACAAGTTAGGAGTTTACGCGTTGCAGAAAGTTGGTGGGGTGTGCACTCGCTTGTAATGCGCACTCGCTTGTAATGCGCACTCGCTTGTAAAGCACGTTAACCACAGATGAATCTATGTATGGCAAATTTGCCCGAGCTGTTTGAAACCACTTTAGCAGGGAACATTACTTCGTACAGTTGAGCCTTGAGAACTACCAGCCGCCGTCTGGGCTAGTGGTAGCACCACTATGCATATTTGGAGTCAACATATCCGGTGGCTACAGAACTAAGCAATTCGAAGCCGTTGCATCAGTCGAGTCGCAAAGTTCGATATTCCCTCGCAATAACAGCCGACTCCTCATTTCATCAACCGATCATTTCCCATTTTGGCCAACATGGCTTCGTGGACGGAACAACGTCCGCACATATGTACCAGAGGTGTAGGACTAAAACAGTACAACACCACACTTAATCAAGATCTGCTCTGTAGCGTGCATAATCGCTCGTGGACGCCATGTTCGCCGAACTAGAGTCAATCCGTACAACCAGAGCGTTGTAGTCTTTGTCGCTTTGGGGACTATTTCAACGGCGTATGGGCTAGCCATCATCGGAAGTACTGTTGGTCAGCCGAACTTCTATACATATTTCAACCTTGCGACGGCTGGTGAACCTGGTGAGCATCAGGATTGCCCTACCCTTATTTTCACCTTTGACTGAGACAATCAGGATATGACTACACCACCAACATCATCGGCGCTCTCAATGGCGTCAATAGCGCGGGTGCAATCTTCGGATGTCTCTTTAACGCCTGGACCTCTGAAAAGTACTCCCGCAAGTACAGCATGATGCTCGGATCCAGTATTCTTATTTTTGGAGGCGCACTCTGCGCAGGAGCATATGACATGGCCATGTTCCTGGTCGGTCGCTTCATCGCAGGCTGGGGCTCTGGCATGCTTGCATGCGTAGTGCCGATGTACCAGGCCGAGATCTCGACACCAGCGACCCGCGGTGCAATGATGTGCACAACCGGAGTCGCCTACGCCTTGGGCTATACTCTCGCAGGCTGGCTAGGCTTTGCGTGCTTCTTCCTTCCGGCAGACTCTCCACATGCGCAACTCGCATGGCGCTTCCCACTAGCCTTTCAATGTGTCTTTCCGCTTATGGTGCTAATGGGCTGGGGTTTCATCCCATTCTCTCCAAGATGGCTGCTTCAGCAAGACAGACGTGATGATGCATTCGATGTGGTGTGCCGCTTGCATCGCACGCCTGAGGATCCCGACAATATCAAAGCGAAAGAAGAGCTGCTGCTGATGAAGAAGCAATTTGAGCTCGACAAGTCTCTTCATGTCCGAACCTTCGAGCTCTTCCGAACACCTGCCAATCGGCGACGCGCACTCGTAGGCACTTTAATGCTCTGAGGTCATCAGTTCCTGGGCATCTTTGTGCTCACCAACTATGGCGTATTGATCTATGAGTCTCTTGGCCTGACTGGATATGTCCCTCTCCTGCTCAACGCATCTTGGACGAGCTCCACCATCATCGGCAACATATGGACCGCGTTCTTCATCGATCGTTTTGGGCGGCGGACTTTTCTCCTAATAGGCAGCAGAGGATGCACATCATGTGTCGTCTTTTTGTGCGCGCTCACAGCTGAGTTTTTAAAGACGGACAACGTGGCCGGACTGAGAGCTGCCGTCTTCTTCATATTCTTCTACATCTTCTGGTGGTGTTTCTTCCTTGATGCGTGAGTACAACATACTTTCGAGGTCAGACTTACTACAATTGACACACTCGTAGCACGCAATACGTATACATCGCGGAGATCTTCCCCAACCATCTGCGGCCTCAAGGTGTAGCGCTGGGTATTTCAGCCTTCTATTTTGGCAGCGAAGTCACTCTTGTAGCCGCTCCGATCGCGTTGAATCAGATCGGATGGAAGTTCTACCTCGTGCTCATATGCCCGAGCGTGGTCTATATCATATTACTATATCTCTTGTAAGCCTTGACACTCTTTAATTGTCAAAGCAAAGCAATTCCTGACACGCATCACCAGATTCCCGTAGACTAAGGGACGGACGCTAGAAGAGATAGGTGAGTAGTGCAACGTCCCTCTCAGAACAAGTATTGGCCAGTCTAACGAGACTATAGGTGCTCTCTTTGGTGACGAACATATCGCAAGCCAGTGGCATGGGCTGAGTGAGGCAGAGAAGCTAGAAATCAGGAATGAAGGCCTGAAGATGAACGCGGGTCATGGGGAGGAGGCTGCGGTACGAATGGAGAAAGTGTAGGTGTGAGGTGCTGCTCACCAACGATTACACCTTGGGAACCGGTGAACACAAAACTCAGACTGTGGTACCCCACGGAAATTATGCAGGCGGCAAAATCGCGGGTCTTGATTGTCCTGCTCCCGCCCTGAACGGAGTGGTCCATGAGACTGCAGGGCAACTAGCTGATTGTGTCGCGGTAGGTAAACAGTGCGCATGCAGGAAGAATTGAAGGATTGAACTGAGGTTCTATTGTGTATGTATGTATGTATGTATGTATTGTTTAACGTCCTATGAAAGCCTCCCAGGGGGCATGAAAGACGGGTAGCGCCCTG